CGGAAAGGTTTGTGCAGGCAGGGCATTCCACTTTCAGTACAACACAAACTTTTCAAGTGCATTGCAGGTAACTTCATTCTGGTCACCTCTCAACCCTTTTTTTGGCGGAATGTGGGATGTTCCATGCTGAGTTGCCGCTGCAGTTTTCCTCTTATGTTGCTCCAGGATGAGCAAATATGGGGAAGGTATGATGTATTGGACGGAAATCCGGTGCAAAGGCTCTCTCAAGTCGCTTGGAGACATAAAAAACACCCATTGCTACCCCTGTTTGCTTCTAGTTTGTCAAGATATATATATATATATTATATTGTTTAACTAAGGAAGACTAAGCGACGTCTGTCGCAAGAAGCAGTTGAGTGGGATGAGGAAAACAGCAACCCTGACCAGTTAGAGGACACTTCACATGCTGAATGGAGCATGCTTGACTCGGCACAAGGCGCTAATGCTTTTTGTGCCATCAGCATGCATTATGCCCTGGCCCCTTCTGGTCTGCACCCATTCTCCGGTCTGCGCCCGTTCTCCTGACAGGCTTGAGTCTCGACGACGCCAATGAGCAGGAGAAGGAGCCTGTCCAGACGCAGTCTGAGTCTGCGGATGTTCAAAAGGAGATGAAAAAGCATTGGTTTCCCACTCCCATGGTAGAAGGGGACAGGGCACCTTCTAGTTTGATTCCTGAAGCGACCAAATACCTCCAGAAAATGGTAACCAAAGTGGATGCTTTACATGAAGACTTCAAGAAAGCTGATGGCTTGAGCGCTTTGCAACTGAAGAAGCTAGGCAGTATTGTACGTTGGAAAGGGAACATGCTAATGCATGGTTCTGCTTACTTCTTTTGATGTTGCTGCAAAGCATGGGAGTGGTATCTCAGGATGAAGACCAAATTGGAGTTTGTGTGCGGTGAGTTGTCGAACATCGACGACCAGCTAATCACCCATCATGGCGATGGTGTTCTGGATGGCTTTACGCATCAGCCCCTTGGCCTTTTAGGGCTCTCTGGATGATAGAACATAGTAGGCTTGCCAAGGCTGGCCCCATCAGCTGACTGACCAAATCATTTGCAGGCCACACTTAACGACATGCCCGCAATAAAAAGAATAGAATCAGGTACCCAGAAAGACCTTTGAATCCCAACGGAGAAACAGCTCTGTTGGGATTCGTCTCCACCCAAAGTGGAAATCAATGTGTGGTATTGAGAGTCCTCTCGGCCTCTCAAGGTTGATCCCCTTACTCAGTCTTCTCAGCCTCGTTTGTTGGGAAAACGTCAAGAAACAACCCCAACCGAACAACTTTTGGTTGGAGATGATTGGGGCACTCAAGAGCTAGGTTTCTTGGTAGCCTTGGTCCACTATGTCTGAATTACTTTTTACCAAGATGATTAATGAGTAGTGAAACCCACTGGCCAAAACAAGCCCAGGCTCCAACAAAAGATTCGGAAGGAGCTCGAGCTTGCCCGCGCAAAGTTTGACACTCATTTCCCCTGCTCGTGAAATGCATCATTGCCTGATGCAGTGGTCTTTGTGAGTAGCTTCATTCCCAAGGATGGGAGAGGCCATGTCGGTTTACTACTTCGCGAAGTCTCGAGCTCAAACCCAGGAAGACCTTTTTTTTGACCCACCGCTCAACACATCGCTTGCCCAGGTCGAGAGTGCCTGGCCAGAAGCCCAAGTCCACTAGATCGACGCCTCCAAGCGGTAAGGCTAAGGCCAAAGGTCGAGCCAAGGCCAAATCTTAGGTTGCTAAGACCTGAGCTCAGAGCTTCTTTTCATGAACAAAGCTAGCCAGTCCCCCTTGGTTCTGACCACTTTCCTAAAGCAAAATTTTGAGCTGGAAGTGCGCAGTCATTTGCTTCTGCGATAGGGGGCAGGCTGGGCAGGTCAAATTAATGTAAATTAACAACGTCAGAATGAAAATTCATTCGGTGCGGGTTGCAGGCCGGTTTTTTCAACCATGCCTCTCATGACAACCCTTTGCACACAAAAGAGTGGTACCGTTGTGGGGAAAACAGTTTCTGTTGAATGCTTCGACAGCTCTTGCTTGGACCCTGGTTTACACTGCATTGCTCTGGCAATTTTCTGCCAGGTTCAACAAAAGATGCCCTTTCGACGCTCCCTGACAGTTTCTTGGGACACCTTGCGGATACCATGGGTGATGGAGCTGGGAGCTCAATTGGACAGTCTGTCTTTACAAAAAAGTGAATAGAGTTGCCCTGTTGTTCACACACCTTGCCTCAGGCCAGCGCGGTGAGTGCCAAGCGCAGCATAGTTGCGCTGACATCCGCCAAGCCAACCTCAGAAGTGAGAAACGCTGAGAGGGATATGAAGAAGGTCTTTCAAGACCTTGGCTTTGACCTTCCTATCCCCATCAACCCTGTGCAGCATGTCACTGATGAGCCAAAACCAATCACTTCTTACCATATAAGGCCATCTTCATGGGTTCAATTTTGGATGGACACTGAACCAGGGGTGCTTGGGGGATCGGAAAACTTTGAGGCCTTCTGGATCCTTGGTTTTGCTAAGTAATTAATTAGTGCCAAAGGCTTTTGTGCCCTTTGCTTTACTGTTTCCCTTCAGTCTTGTCCAAACGTGCTCTTTGGTTAGAAAGTTCACTGACGCTGTGCATGAGGAAGGCATACAAACAAAGCCATCCAGGCCACGAAGTGTTCGCCAAACATGGGCACCACCTCTCGCAGGTGGTCCCCTTGATGTTTCATGGTGACGAAGGTCGAGCTGTCAAGAAGACAAACTATTTCCTTACATCGGTGGAATCTCCGATTGGTGCTGTTGAAGACCCCTCGCTTCGATGTACCTGCAAACATGACTTGAGATCCCGATTGGGCATTCCCAACTACGGAGAAGATGCTGGTAACCTTTCACCTGCGGCACTGCACCGAGCCCGACAACAAATCACAAATTTTAAGGGACACTCGTATTTATCACGCTTTCTCCTATTCGGAATCGGAGGATGGGTTTACAAGAAGCGTCAGTACATCATAGATGAGCTACTGTCTATCATTGCAAGTGACATGGTTGATTTGTTCAACAAGGGTGTCAGACTTTCATCTGGCGATGTTGTCTTTGGTGCCCTGGTAGCCACCAAGGGTGATCTTGATTTTCAGAAACGGCTGATGAATTTGGAGAGATGCTACAGCCGCCTTGGAACTGTGAACCCTGCCGGCATATGCCACCTTTGCCTTGCTGGCAATGGATCGTGGCCCTTCGAGGATTTTAAAGAGGAACCGGCCTGGAAAGAAACACTCTTCCAGGTTCGGCCTTGGCCGGAAGACAACCCGCCTTCGATGTCCTTGGTCCCGTATGACCACAGAAAACCAGAGGCAGTGATCCATCCAGACCTCTTCCACACTGTAAAGGTTGGAATCGGAAGAGCCCTCTGGTTGCATTCAAACAGTCTTTTCTATTCATACTGTGTCCTCCTGAATCATTGTAAATTGACTGTTTGTTGCGTCCTCAAACCAACTCAAGGACGTCGTAGGCGGTGTCTTGGTCACTCTGCTTCGACTAGGCTTCTATGACCACGAGGGTAGCACCCGCAACATAGTGGACAGACTAGAGCGTGGCCATTCACGATTTGCGTTGTGGTGTGCCACCACTGGGCACAGCCCTGGCTTACGGAGCTTTACCAAGTCGTACTTCAACCTCAAAAACATGATGTCAGCACCGTGGTCAAACAGCAAAGGTAGCGACACGACTCTGTTGTTGAAATGGCTTGTCTTCGAAGTGAAGCTCCAGTCTGTATATCCAACAGTTGCAGGGCATCAAGTTCTCTTGGACAACATGCTTCAAGTCATGGAAGCAACGCTCAACCTTGGGATTGTACACAAACACGGTTTGTGGTTGGACCGTGAATGCGCTCGCCGCTTTGTGGTTGAGGGTATGACACTGTTGCGGGGCTACGCAGTCCTAGGCCGCAAAGCTATGTTGCTTGGTTTCCGTGCTTTCATCCAGAAGCCCAAGGCACATTCACTCCATCATATTTGTGCTGCTGTGAAGACCAGTCTGGAACAGGGAGCATCTGTCATTCTTTCACCCCAGGCAACATCATGTGAGGTTAACGAGGATTTTGTAGGGCGTATTTCACGTCTATCGCGCAGAGTGGGGTTCAGGTTGATGGACCTAAGGGTCTGTGAGCGTTACTTTCTCAAGATCTCCTGCTTGCTCCGGACCAGGAAGCAAAAGCGGAGGGCTAAAGGTTGAGTAGTCGTGATCAAATCCCCAAGAATTATACAGTACAGTAACAACATCAAACAACCATGTGCAGGGGCCCTTGGCCTTCCCAGCTTTCTTGAGGGCCCGGCTGGAGCGTCCATGGCGAAGCCATTGCGAAGATCAGCGGTGACCAGTGGTGTGTTGAAAGAGTTGGGTTTGGGAGGGTTGGGGCTGCTGTTCTTGGTGTAGGCTTTGAGTTTGTCAAGGTGTTACCCTCAAGATCCCTCAAGCCTTGGTAGTTTTTACTTCATGGTTCCAGCCATGCATGGTTCTCTAAGGATTTCTTCTAAAAAACTACTCGGGCGGAAAAAATGGCCTCGGTCTGAAAACACAGGTTCGGTCAACTTTTCAGACTGAATCAGCTCGGGCTGAAATTACAGCCTGCAGGAGTTCCTAGGTATATATATATATATGATATACCCTATAGTACCCTATATATACATATGTAGGTGGTTCGTGGTCCTGCAGTCCTGCTATTCTATTCTTTTCGCCACTTCTCATTTGTACCAAATCCCGTCAATCTGCTCTTCACTTTACTGCCTGCAAGCCAACCGTACTCTCGCCCCAAAGCAGGAATGAATTTATGAGGTCCACTGCAGTCTGCTGGTCTTCGCAATGCCGGTCTTCACCGAACTCCTTGCGCTCGTTGATCTCCCCCGCCGACGCAAGGCGGCCCGGCGGCATCGCCGACGGGACGGAGCCGCCGCCCCCGCACCGGCAGGTTGGTCGGTCCTTCTTCTCCGACTCGAAGAGCCACTTGGTGATATACTTGGGACCTCAGTTATGACTCCATGCTGCGCGGAGGTCCCAGGGACAACGAAGCTGCGGAAGCCGCGTGGTGCAACGGAAACCACGCGGTAACCACGCGGTGGTTTCAAAGGACAGTGTGGTTGCAAACGTGACCTGCACTGGTGGGCTGATGACATCAAATGACTACAATACTGTAGCGGTCTTTGCTGAGAATTTGTGAAGCAGCATAACGCAGTTTACTCGTGAAGGGTCTCCTCACTTTTAATCCAACTTGCATATACAGTATTTGTATACGATCCGCCTTGTTGTCGACGTCACTCAAAATGGTGTTACTGGCAAACTGCGTATTGTGAGTATTGTGAGTATTGGCAGTGGTTGTAATGTGCGCGAAGAGCAGTGGTTTCTCGCAACTAGAGGCCCGGACACTCTGTCATCACGTAGAGGACGTACCTCCCCGTGCAGTTGCAGTCGGGAGTTCAAAGCGAAGACTTGTGCATCCGAGACGGTCCAGATGTTGGGCAGAAAACACACCAGGCCACTAGCAGCTTCGAAGGGCCTGGATGGGTGCTCACCAAAACCATCCCACCAAACCATCCTTTTGCCACAGTCGGACTGGGAAGAAAAGCAGCTCAAACCATGTGGGCCTGGATGTTGCTCAAAGATTTCTTGGAGCTAAAACCATCCTGAGATATCCTGATGCCAATAGATGGAGGGACATATCCTGACTATCCTGACTATCCTGATATCCTCCTGTTTACATGGAGGGGCAACATGTATGGGGCAAGACTTTCGAACCTTCCCTATGAAGTCCCGAAAGAAATTGTCCCGCTGCCTTCAGATTCAGGTTTGTTCCTCACAACTTTTGGCAATCCCTGGACAGCCCGATCATAATGAAGAATACCGCTGGCAAACCAGGACCCTCTAACAAGTTACTTGCTGCAAGGTTAATATGTTATCCAAAAGCCATCTCCCAGACTAAACCCACGGAGGGGACTTCCGCACTCATGAAATGAGGGACTTCACAGGAATTTGTGATTGGCTGCAGTTTCAAGCGAGTCGTTTCCGTGAGGTGCCCGGTAGACCACAGCAAACGCAAATAACCTTCAACTTCACCAAACCGAAGAGGCCAAAAGGATCTTCAAGCAGAACGCCCACCCACCTGCCACACACCCCAGCACCTACTCCATCTATGCTGTTGGAAAGCTATATACATGAGAGTTTCACATGTGCATCACCCCAAGGCAAAAGGTGTCTTGCAGGAGATATGTCAGATCTTGGCAACAAACAAAAACCTCATCCCTCATCCTCCGAAAACGCCTCAAGACTTTCCTTCGCACTTTCTTCACTTCCTTCACCTCCTCAGCCGCCGTAGATGAGGTCGGAAGGGACGGAGAAACGGCACGTATTTTTCGGAGAGAGGACGGTTTCGGTCACCGAGGAAGCGGAAGCCCCAGAGCTTCAGGATCTGGAGGAATTCAAGGATGGTCCGCAATAGCGCAAGCCCAAGCACTTCCCATGTTGCCAACCCATCATCCCGGTACGAGTCCAGAGCGTTCGGACGACGCGAACCTACGACGTTCCGGGGCTCCTGGGCATCGCTACGAACGGCAGTTCCGGTCCGTTGGGTCGACCATCCGACATGGAACCCATCGAGACAGGTGGGACTCTGGGACCACGGTCGGATCTGGATGTCTCCAACAACCCGGTGCGAGGGAGCTATTGCGGTTTCCCAGTAGAGTTCGTGACTGGGATCTTAAGTCACTCAAGGTTTAAAACCGCTTATTCACGCTACATCACCCCCCATAGAATCTCACTCTCACACCATACTGGCCTGCAGAAAAACGGAGCTCAAACAAGAATGCAGGTCGGAAGAATCTCCACTGCACCCAAAATTTTGGACCGCAACATTCCCGATGACAAGAATATTTGGACGATGAGTGACGAGTGCATCTGTTAATACTTGGCCCACGTCCAGCGCCTCAGAGTCCTTTGATGTCCTTTGGACACCAACCCAGCCCCAAAGCTTGTGATAGATCAATCGATAGCAACCACATTGGACCGCCTTTGCCTTCTGGGGTGCTGGTCGAAATCCTGTCCACCGAAATCGGCCATGTGACGATCTCCCAATAGGATTCGCCCACGTCCAGCCACTTGTGGTCTTCGAAGTCCTGCGGACGCGACAGGCTTCGGAAAAAGAATGAAAAAGACAAGGTCCGGGGTGCGGGCTATGCGGACTGAAGTCGAGGGGTGGAGGGTGGGCTGTTTACTTGCGTCCTCTAAGGGATCGTGACACCAGCGATGGGGCTTCTCTCCCGAACCTCTACTAGGCGAACCCTGATCACGTCCTCCTCTAGGATGGTGTCCCCATGAACCACCAGCTTGAGCTGCCTGGCATGAGATGGCTGTCGTCTGGCTGTCGGCTTGGCATCGCCCCACTGGCGGCTCATGTACAACCACTGACCAAAGGTTCAACAATTTTCAACCACAAAGTGAATCCAAAGTCCAATTAATCAATATATAACATTAACATGTTTCGAGCTTCCAAAGCTACTCTTCGGGGCAAACACCTTGCGATCAAAGGGGGCACTGAAACAACTGGAGAATGCGTGGGAGATCTCTCACTTCGGAACAAGGACGCACACTGACTGCACCGTGTGGTAATGGCTGGTTGTGTGGGTGTGTGTGAGGCTGGGATGGTAAGCATCACTGACATGCTGTGCCGAAGGAACAGGCAACCACACGATGCGAAAGGATCGCCATGCAGGTGCTTTCAACAACACCGGAGAGGCCTTTTGGGTTGTCCAGGATGGGCACTTCCACTGCAGGTCTCACCGGTACAAGGGGTTGAGTCCAATTGAGGGGAGCCATCTTTTTCACCATGGCAAATGGGCTGGTGAAAAAGAGGGGCAGTCTTTTTCCACCATATGCTAGCCATGCTGCCAGCCTGTGCACTGTAGTGACAGCGAACCGAACATGTGCCAACCGTCTTCTCTTCGAGCCTCATGCTGAGGTGCGCTCGAATCTGGCGCGCTTCGACGTCCTTCCTCAGCGGGACCTTGCGCGAGAGACGGAAAAACACGGTACCACACCGATGATTCTGCTGTTTTGCTTCTTGTGTTCGGTACTACGTATATGTTCAGTCTTTTCTTGTTTGGCCACTGAGTGGTTATTTTTTAAAATCAACTTGAGCGATCGTGAGTTCGAGTGGCAAACATGATGATTGTTGACGTTGTTGAAACCTTGCGAAAGTCATTAGCATTGAACACATTGAAAGCAAAGCCACCTCTCAAATCCTTTAAGCAGGACGGCTTGCGGTGAAAAATTGGCAGATTGCAAAACCCTCTTAAAACCCACCAAAAAAATCTTGCGGACCTAGGACCTAGGACCTGGTATGCACCGAAAGGATGCACGGAAAGGATGCACCCTTCAGGAGAGATGGGCCCTCCCCATTGCCTCCAAAAACACCGCTTCCCGCAGTTGACCATCATCATCCTTGTCTCGTCCTCGCCGGGAAAAAGCTCGCTCACTCGCTGAGGTGGTTTTTGCCCGTTTGGTCGACTGGTTCGAAGTTGCCGGGTCAGTGGTCGGTCGTTGGTTCACACCCAGCTCTTCTTTTTTCCGTGGGAGTAGCAAGGTTCAGGCTTCCAGTCATCCAGCGTAAAACCACTCTTGAGACCCACAAATTTGCCACAACCATATCGGATTGAATGTGCCACTGGAGTCATCCAAATAGCAAAGCTACAGTACTTACTCTGCCAGTGTCCAATTGAATTCCTCGGATTTTTTCGGAGGTCTTGAGTCTAGAGTCTATAGCTCATCAAAAATTCCCAACATCAGTCGCTTTGGACGCATCAATTGCATGCATGTTTACATGTCCATGGTCCATAGTCTATGCCTGTGCTAATATATCCCTACAAGTCAATCACCTCATTTTACTGGAGTTGGTCAAACAAAAACATTATTCAAGAAGGTAAAGAACCTGGTTTTACTGGGTCTTTGGACTTGTAGGGTATATATAAAAAATAAACTATGTACTACATATCTTCGTAAAACAAATACTTACCGCAAAGGCTCTTTGGGTCCGGTTTCTTGGATTATGTCTTGTGTTTTAGTTGCTTTCACTAACAAGGCCTTCTGACTCCACAAATCTCATTTGCTGATCCGCCCTTGCTGATCCGCCAACATTCACAAGAACCAAATGCTGCATCGCTGGCAAGCCCGGCCGTAAGTCCACCAGTATCTTCCAAAGTCATGAACCTCGGGCGCAAGAGCGTGAGTGCTCGATGGCCATGGCTGGCTGTGCCAGGGTACACGTGCCATCTACTCACGTCACCTGGCTCAGAACCTGCGGTTGAGGGACACATGAGGAAAACACATGAGGGGGCTAGCGGCTAGCTCCAACAAACGAAACCTTGCCCTTTTTTGCGGGGACCTGATTGGAAGGCTATAGTGTCTGCCTCTGAAAACACACACGCACACATTCTCAATAGCATCGCAACCAAATGCACTTTGTTTCACCAAGCATCTCTTCAACTGTGAAACCTCACAGCTTTGATCTACGTAGACTTTGAACTTGGGTTTCTCGGGCATCAAACAGGTGTTCAAGACATTCTTCCTGGGGTTGCTTCATCTCACTGGATACCATCTCTCACCCTGGATTCCTGGATACAGTACCACGCCTTGGAGGTGTCGGTCTTCTCCAAAAACTCGTTCCATTCGTCTTCCTGGTCGTACCTCACCGGGTCGGTCGACCGGTGCGAAACACGGTCGACGAAACCGCGTCTGCGACGTTCGTAGGTTTTGGTGACGTCCGTAGTGATGGCCTCCAACCGGATCTTGCGGCCTTTTCTGTTACGTCCTCCGACGATTTCCGGGTTCGGATTGGTTTGATGACTCATGATGACTCCAACGATGAGCGCTTCTTCGCCCACGACGGGAGAGTCGGACTGTCAGTCGCACTTCAGTGCTTCATCGTGGTGACAGGAAGCATGGACATGTTGTAATGGAACTTGACTTAACCGGGTTGAATGGTTAAACGAAACGAACTCACATGCCAACCTCAGTAGGCGATACTTGGCTGCAAAATCAACCATGTGGAAGAACAAAGAGCTCCTGCACGTGGATTTCCATGAATAACACATGATCTCCAAAAAACAAACACATATATATCATATATCCCTTGAGCTGAGTGGATAGACTGGCAGATCCAAACTGTTACGTCAATGCAGTACTAACTACTACAAACACATACAGAAACCACCGATGGCTTCAACCCTTCACACTTGCTCCTTTGGTGTTTGCTGTCTTTTGGAACTGCAGTGCCTGTCACCTTCAACTCACCACAAGTCCAGGTCTCAAACACCAACCCACCATACTCAACCCACCAGGGTGGACGGCGTCGGCCTCCGAGCCACGGCCCCGGCGCACTGAGGCCGCAGTTGTGCGCCATGCGGCGCGTACATCGAGCGCTTCAAGACCGGAGGCCTCGGTGCGTGGGGATGAAACAAACGGATGCGGGACTGCGTACAAAAATAGCAGCACAAGCTAGTAGATGGATGGGAATGGTGGATGGCTATAGGCTATAGGAGGATGCTATAGGGATCTGTAGTGCAAGAAGTGTCACCCTGCGCCGATGTTAAGAAACGCTCAACAGAATAAAAGTCAAGTAAAGCGCATCGCTGACGGATTAAAATGTGGGCACAAAACTCTAGGAGGGTTTGCATATGCCCCCGAGAAAACCCTTGTGCGGCTCCTATGCTTTTTCGGGTTGCGATTTTTGTTTTAAGGGAGTTGTTTTGGTGGAACCGGACCAAAGACCACCACTCGGTATTACAGACAGTACCCTAAGAATCCGGACCCTCAAACACATATGGTTTTGAGGGCCCGGACCCCTGCTATGGAGGGTCCGACCCCTGCCATGGAGAGCCCAAGGATTCTTAGGGGTACTATTATTTGTGTACGCAGATCGAGGCTGTAGTCATCTAATATCAATCAGGCAGTCACCTATGGTTTTCCAACGTTTGCCATGGTATCGTTCTGCGGCAGTCACCCAGTGGTTCACGAGAAAACCCTACTAACATTAGAAACATTGACAAAAGCCCGTGACACCAACTAACTTGGCCCCAAACACGACATTGGCTAGACTGACTAGCGAAACTCGTTGGGCTTCTTCAGCCCAAGACACGGCTGGGGATATCCCGTCATGGCCGTCACGCCTGGAGCGAGGCTCCGTGGGAGAGTCGGGCTCCCAGCGTCGGTCCTGGTCCACTGGAGGTACATTCCCGTTAACATGGACCCTGAGAATGGCATGCTGAGTCTCACTGGTTTCCTCTATATACAAACCGGTCGTTTTTTTTCCTTTCGGGGTCCATGTTAGATCATCTCAGTCTTCACCGGGGTACTTGCTGGTACTGGTACTATCTCAGCTAGATGACTGGTCTTATTTCACTTGCTTGCAGTTCACGCTTTGTGCAATGCACCGATGTTCTTCAAAGGCAGTTTGCCGTAGCTCTGGCAACACGGGTGCTCTATGTTTAGTGAGACTTGGGGAAGTTGTCTCATCCAACAGTCGTTATTCTGGATGCCGTTGACCTCCACTGGAGATGTAGCAAAGCTGGGTCTGTCCGCCAACCAATTACCTGGATGAGATACTGTTGATGGACACAGCATTTGCACAACCTGCAGATGCATTTGTCCAGTGCACTCTCATTCGGCTCGTTGGGTGTGGTATCAATATGGTTTGTGGTAGCAGCTTGGATGTTCAGTTCCGGTCGTGGTAGTGATACTCGACAGTGATAGGCCGACATCTAGTCGCCTAGTCCTTAGCTGGGTGTGGCACTCTGACATTCCATGGACATTCCAATCGAGGGGTGCCATTTCGGGGTCCAACTGCAACGGAACCATCCCGACCATCCCTTCATCCTCCCCACGTTCCTGCCCGGTCCGAGCCGAAGGCGAAGCAAAATGGTCGGAACCGCTGTTGGTCGTGCTGTTTCCGGTGCTCTTGGTGATGTACGGCGAAAGACTGAGGGGATGGTCTCCTATGAACTTTGGCATGAGAAGCAAGCTGCGCTCCCATATTGAACTCGGACTTGGATCAAATAGAATTATATACATGATATTACGTGATAAAAAGGACCTGTGGACATAAACTAGGTACCGTTCAGTCTTTGTAAACGCATCGGTCGGTCTTAGTGAGACTACTCACTTGTCTTGGAAGACTAAGACACACTTGATTTTCTTGCATGTAGTTGTTTTCCATCCACGAGGTTTCATTTACCTTCAGCCGTGTGAATGAATCATTCTTTGTTCATGAGGCGTTTCCTTTCCTTTTGATTTCTTTCCGAGGCATCACATGCAGGGATCCAAAAGATTTCTGAAGGCTGATGATGCTGTCATCTGTCTCTGAGTCTAACTCTTGAACCAGCTGACACGGAGCGGACCTTTG